CGATTTATTCTTCGCGATGAGGATTTTTCGGTGAACTCTTTTTACCATCCTGTTCTAGAGTGATCGAATGAAGTGCTTAAAAAATGGGCAGTCTGAAAAATGAAGCCAGAAAAGTCCAATCCCAAGTAAACCTCTTTTTTCCATTTTCCTCCAGCTTGTTCANCTAAAGCGCGATGTTTATCGGCCGACACGCGGCCGCCTGTCCTCCAAAGAATTTTTCCACTTCGCTTATTGGAAACCGCAGAGTAGGCTAGACGCGATAAAGTCTGCCGACGGATCCGGACAGTTGGCGTACAAATTTCTCTGAATAAGGTTAATCTCGATCAGGATTTTTGCCTCGAACTTGAGCCGTTTATTTTGAAAGTGGCACAAGTCACTTTACCGTAATGAAAAGTGGTGATTTTTTAATGTTTACACGAAATTATTTATACCGAGGAAAGTATCAGCATCCTGAGATAACAAATACAAGTAAATCTCCTCGAAAGTTAGCATCCATATTTTTAAACGTGTTAAAACGCAAACCCTTACATATATCGCCTTAAAAACAAAGTGATTTATGCAACTTTCAAAATAAACGGCTCACTTTTGCGTAGAATCGAGACGAGAATGCAAGAGCAGTTGTCCGAAATTATGGACGATTTATTCTTCGCGATGAGGATTTTTCGGTGAACTCTTTTTACCATCCTGTTCTAGAGTGATCGAATGAAGTGCTTAAAAAATGGGCAGTCTGAAAAATGAAGCCAGAAAAGTCCAATCCCAAGTAAACCTCTTTTTTCCATTTTCCTCCAGCTTGTTCAATGGATTTTCTCCACGCCCCGTTCGTATTATTTTTAGCGAGTCGCGTCTTCGACTTCCCACATCCGTCTTTCAAAAAAGAAACCGTGCAGCCTTCCGAGGTCGATCGAATGAAATCGGGAAAAGCTCTGTGACGCGGGCGTTCCACGAGCCGTTCCGTTTGAAATATTTCGTCGAGGAAAGAATTCGTCGATCGATAAATCGTCTGGAATATTCTTGGGCCGCTCGATCCTCGGGGCTTTAGGGGGGATGACAGCAATATTAATAGTTCGGGAAAAAATGCGAGGACTGTTTCGAGATGAAACGAGCCTGCGGTTCGACTATCGAGTAACAGCGACCGACCGGCGAGCAAAAACAATCGGGCGGGAGAATCTCGGGCGCAAATTGCCCGGGGAATTTCGAAACGCTTCGGTGAACGAATCTCGACGCGGCTGCCAAGCACCGCGGCTCTAATTACGAGGCGAAGTCGACGGTCGGAATAATTTGCAACGCGCGAAGTACACACAGGGACACCCTCTCTCCGGGGTTCGCCCCCTCGGCTCCCCCGCGAATGATACATCGTCTCTCGAAATAGAAGAGCAACGACACCGACGAGATCTTGACATTGTCTTGGCAGCGGTCGCGCGCATTGTTTCCGCGACGAAAAATGGAAACGATTAGGCTCGAAGGTCGCCGACGGACTCTTCTTGTTTACTCATTTACGCGATCCTCCCTCGCACTTTGTCCCGCGGCGTCCGTTCGAATCGTACATGATTTCTTCCGTTTAATGGACAATCTGAGCGTCAGTAAGGGAGACATTGCTGTAATCCGAGCGTCAGTTAGGGAGACATTACTGTAAATGCGATCTCCATCGATTGCAACGAACACGAATCGAGTAGACACTTCTTTCTTTCTTCGAATAACTGCATAGAGTTGACATGATTTCTTATCGCTGCTAGGATTTTGCTAGGAACAACAGCTAATTAATCTTAATCGACGGTGGCGCAAGTCGTTTGTTAGTATTCTAAAAATTGTATAATACTTGTATAATACTCCATAAAAAAATGCAGAGCAAAAATGCATAGCACTATTGCAAGAAAATACAGTAATAGTGATTACGATAACGTTGTTCAACACTCTGCCGCGCCAACAGAGTCAGAGATGTCATCAAATTGAAGCAATGTGCTTCATCGAATCGAAATTGAGATCTCTCAAGTTGCACGTTTAAATAGCAAATAAATCCACTGTACTTAATACCAGCTATTTCCACGCTTAACTCAGTCTTCATGATTTCGAACTTAGGCGACTCGTCAAGTGGGTAGCTGAATGAATTAACGAATAACGAACGATTACCGAGAGGAAAAGCGTCGGGTCCGCTCGAGAGCGCAGAGCAACGCCGCGGCAAACGCGGCGATGAATAACAACTTGGCACAATGGCGTCCCCGGATTGCAACAGTCCGCGGATTAGTCGTTCGAACTATTTATTATCCGTGATTTTCGTGGTTTCATGGTGTGACGTAAGGATCGAGAATACTCGGTAGGGATCAGTGTCGAAGCCCGTGACGCAGATCGGATTCGTCGGATCGGATAAACAAGTCGAGCCGACGCCGCTCCGAGGTTCCGAAGGCGAGCCGCGCATTGCGAAATATTATTCGGTAACGTCAGACGGCCGCGAAAACCGCCAGATGCGTCCGTCGATACCCGTTCCACGTCCGCCGAGAGCGAAAAAGTGTTCGTCCGTCGGCGAAAAAGCCGCGCGACTCCAGTCCAAACGCGGCGACGCGACGCCGCGATTAATAATAGAGAGAAAAGAGAGGATGACAAGCCGATCTAGAATCGTCGCTACGTCGGGAACCGTTGACGAGCGGATGGATATAAGCAGGATGATCGCAGGAATTTTTAGCCAGTACGTCAGTGGCCGCCAAAGTGAACCGGTTCCGAAATAGTAATCTTGAACAGACGTCCGATTCTCGGTTGCTATCTACTCTAGCTCTCTTTATGTATCTTAGAAGACACAGCGTCCTTCTCGTTTCAATTACGTGCGTTCAGTGTGCTCTATATATCGTCCGCGTGACGTCAGCGTCTGCCGGCTGATTCAAAAGTGCTGATCGATATCCGTTGCAATAACAACCGTGCTCGCGAATGTAGATCCCCGCGAGCTTTCCGTCTCGGTCCGCCATCTTGTCGCTGGCACCGTCGTGGCACGGTACTTTTGAATCTCCCTGTAGCGATCGCGCTGAAACAGTCACAGTAAATTCTCTCTAATTGACCCTCGGCTAGTACACGAAACTGGACAATTTTGGGAAGAAGTGATACGATTATTCTGGAATTGTTCATTTTCGTTTCCAAGCCGAGGGTCAATTGGGGAGAATTGTACTGTACTTCTTCGCAGTGTGATTTTTTTGTTCCATCGTATGATAATCTGTTCGCTCACAGCATGTTAATACATGTGCGACTTCAATTTATGAATATCACTGTTTCAAATTATAGCACACGATGTACAGTGATGTCTCCCTTACTGACGCTCAGATTGTCCACTGAAATGGATAATTTGGGAAGAGGAGATACGATTATTCGAGCCTCGCGGCTCGTTTTTATAATTGTGGACAATTTATAACTATAAAAATAAACCGCAAGGCTCGAATAATCGTATCTCCTCTTCCCAGATCGTCCATTTTTGTGGTCAATCTGGGCGTCAATTAGAGAGACATTACTACACAAAGAATTTGTAGCTTCCATTCGACGAGATTTCGATCACATTTTACAAGTGCATACGATGCGTTTAATACGACGAATAAAATAAATGCGACTGGGTAAGATAGTGACGCTGCTAGCGAATGCGTTATCTACGAACCGCTAAGATCTTGCTGTAAGAGAGTCTGAAGTAACGAAAGCGGTAGGCCCGAATCGGCCCGCGGCATCGAAATAGAACCGATCCGAACCGAACCGGCGAGATCAGCGGGCAGGAAGCGAGCGAAGGAGAACGTAACAAGTGTTTGTTGCATGTTTCAGGCATGGAGCAGTTCGAGCAACTGCTAACGTGCGCGATATGCCTGGACCGATACAGGAACCCGAAGCTTTTGCCATGCCAGCACAGCTTTTGCATGGAACCCTGCATGGATGGCCTCGTTGACTACGTGCGGCGACAGGTCAAGTGTCCGGAATGCAGGGCGGAACATCGTATACCTTACCAAGTGAGTGTCAACACGAAACTGTCAGCTGTACTGTCAACGGTAACCGCAATCTTCTCGCTGTAGAAAATCACCATCGTGGACCAATCGGAGATTTGAACACTAGCTTTCTAGTGTATCGGTTTCATTCATTGATTTTCGGCACTTAGAGTGCACTGAATTTTTGATAAAAATTGGCCAACTTCGACCGACGAGAACTCCGCGAAAAATCATCGTAGGATGATGATTTTTATCTTAAATTAAAGCTTGAAAAAAATCTCTACTTTAAGATATTTTTCTCGGATTTTAAGTTTTGTGCACCATCGCCGCTGTAACCCTTACAATGTAAGGCCATGTTTGCTACATTGAATATTGCCGAGTTTGACGAAACGCACGATCTTCGTAAAATTTTTTTCGAAGATGCCGTTTACAGCGGAACGAAGTTCGATCCTTCCCCTTTAATTTAAAAAAAAGGGCGCTTGGCTGCGATTTTTTCTCGCGAAATTACAGCACTTTCAAGTAACCCTTGTTACGACAGATTTGGCATTTTCCAATACGATAAACATGGTCTCGCATTTAATGGGTTCTAGTGGTGAGGGTGTGACGAACTTNGGGAAGAGGAGATACGATTATTCGAGCCTCGCGGCTCGTTTTTATAATTGTGGACAATTTATAACTATAAAAATAAACCGCAAGGCTCGAATAATCGTATCTCCTCTTCCCAGATCGTCCATTTTTGTGGTCAATCTGGGCGTCAATTAGAGAGACATTACTACACAAAGAATTTGTAGCTTCCATTCGACGAGATTTCGATCACATTTTACAAGTGCATACGATGCGTTTAATACGACGAATAAAATAAATGCGACTGGGTAAGATAGTGACGCTGCTAGCGAATGCGTTATCTACGAACCGCTAAGATCTTGCTGTAAGAGAGTCTGAAGTAACGAAAGCGGTAGGCCCGAATCGGCCCGCGGCATCGAAATAGAACCGATCCGAACCGAACCGGCGAGATCAGCGGGCAGGAAGCGAGCGAAGGAGAACGTAACAAGTGTTTGTTGCATGTTTCAGGCATGGAGCAGTTCGAGCAACTGCTAACGTGCGCGATATGCCTGGACCGATACAGGAACCCGAAGCTTTTGCCATGCCAGCACAGCTTTTGCATGGAACCCTGCATGGATGGCCTCGTTGACTACGTGCGGCGACAGGTCAAGTGTCCGGAATGCAGGGCGGAACATCGTATACCTTACCAAGTGAGTGTCAACACGAAACTGTCAGCTGTACTGTCAACGGTAACCGCAATCTTCTCGCTGTAGAAAATCACCATCGTGGACCAATCGGAGATTTGAACACTAGCTTTCTAGTGTATCGGTTTCATTCATTGATTTTCGGCACTTAGAGTGCACTGAATTTTTGATAAAAATTGGCCAACTTCGACCGACGAGAACTCCGCGAAAAATCATCGTAGGATGATGATTTTTATCTTAAATTAAAGCTTGAAAAAAATCTCTACTTTAAGATATTTTTCTCGGATTTTAAGTTTTGTGCACCATCGCCGCTGTAACCCTTACAATGTAAGGCCATGTTTGCTACATTGAATATTGCCGAGTTTGACGAAACGCACGATCTTCGTAAAATTTTTTTCGAAGATGCCGTTTACAGCGGAACGAAGTTCGATCCTTCCCCTTTAATTTAAAAAAAAGGGCGCTTGGCTGCGATTTTTTCTCGCGAAATTACAGCACTTTCAAGTAACCCTTGTTACGACAGATTTGGCATTTTCCAATACGATAAACATGGTCTCGCATTTAATGGGTTCTAGTGGTGAGGGTGTGACGAACTTAAAATGGGGAACCGGTGTCTTAAAGCAGAGGTTTCAAGCTTTAATTTGAAAGAAAAGTCATCGTCCTACGATGGTTTCTCGCGGAATTATAGTCAGTCAAATTTGGCCCCAATCTTTACCAAAAATTGTTCTATGCTGTCATATTTTCGGGCGATATATTTTTGACATATTGCAAAAGGATATTATGCGATCAGCTCAAGGATGACACCAGTTCCAAAGCAGTTCACCCCGCTGAATTGGGCGGTTTTCTTTCGTTTGAAATTTGCCGAAGCCACTGGAGATATGATAAATCTCGCGGACCCTTGGATTTGACTGCGGAAAGCGCATAAAGTTCCATCGTTAAAAACTTCAATGAAATGAAAAGCGTATCCTTGGAGAGGTTCCCGGGCTCCGGAAGCGGAAGATCAATTTCCCGGGTGGAAAACAGTTCCCGGGATAAATCGCGGAGCTATGGAACGGACGGCGATGCAAATGCATCCGTACGCGCGCTTTTCAAATGAACCATACGGCCGGAACAAGGTTCCCCGAACCCGGGCATAATGCGGGGCCGTCTCATCTTTATTCAGCGTCGAATCCGCGGCGGGATCGCTCATGAAAGTGGATGAAGTTTCGCGTTTCATAGCGCGACACCTCTCACGAGCCATTTGTCTTACTTTCTCCTTCTCCCTCCGTTCGCTTCGGTAAGATCAAACGGCCGGCCGTCGTTAACCCCGCTGCTCTATTCGGCACTATTTGACCCGAAAGAAATTTCATTTGCTCGCTACTTTGTCATTTACGTTCGTACCGCTTAGCCGTTTTATGACACTGCTCTTCCGCATCACTCGATAATCGCTTCGCAAACTTTTGTACGTTTCGTGCATTCGATGCGATGCAAAATAATCGCAAGAGAGATTCAAATTGCTCTGAATAAAAAAGAGAACAATTTGAACGATCGTGAATGAAAAATTAGCGACCCGTTGGAAGCACCAGAAGGCTAACGCTGAACCTAAGACCGAGATCTAAAAGCGAGTAACAAAAATTGCCTGATAAGAATAACGGTGTCGAATTCATTCGAATTTTTTGCAATATTTAAAACAGTATGCGCCGGAATAAAGAGATATATTCGAGAATTTTTAGCCAAAGCAGCTTCGCGACTTCGATGATAGGCGGTGGTAGGTTCAGCGTTAAAGATCGCTGAGAGAATTGTACTATCATCTATGCAACTCAATCCCGGCTAAAAGCAGCCTGAAAACTCAGAGCGCGCGCGCGCGCGTACGCCGTTCCGGCGAAAAGCATCGGGATTTGTTCGCCGGCCATAGAGCGGCGTTGTTCATGGTTATTCAACGGCTGCCGGCTGGTTTCTATTATCTAACGAACAACCGTGTGTTTCACGCAGGGCGTCCAGGCGTTCCCGACCAACGTGACCCTGCAGCGATTCCTGGAATTGCACATCGAGATCACCGGCGAGCTGCCGGACCCGACCAGCGGCCAGACGATGGAACGGTGCGGCGTTTGCTCCGAGAAAAGCTACTGCTCCCTCTGTGTCCACTGTGAGAAAAAGTGTTGCCCGGAGTGCAAGGACGCTCACATGGACATCCTCAGGCGTGAAATTACGCGCATCAATTCCCAGGTACGAGAATTCCCCCGGCGATCCTGGGAATCCTTTTCGAATGCCGCCGGCACACCTCCGCCGACCCGACGCGATCCCTCGGGCTCCTTCTTTCGCGACCCTGCCGCGCGACCCGGCGTCAAGGAATTTACGCCGACGGAGGAACCCGCGACCCGTTGTTTACCACCGAACCGTTCCGGATTGCACGAGGGATTGTTTGTTTTTTACCGAGCTGCGAAACAATTTCTCACCGGCGGACTTTTCATTATTCTCTCTCGCGTCCGAAGTCGCGCCGCGGACATATTTAATGCTGCTACCCCGTTCCACGCGCTTATCGCAATTTCGTGGTAGATTTTCTCGATTTTCTCCTTTTCCTCGATTTTCTCGCTGTGGCGAGCTTGTGGGAAATTGTGGACCCGCGACCGACCGTTATTTATTTCGAGCCGGTAGGATAGTGCTGCCGGTTATCGTCCAGTGGCCAATTGCTGTGTCTTTGGTCCATTCTCGGACGCAATTGATTTTATAATCTTCGGACGTGTCAATTTTTTTGTCAATTTTTTATTAGAAAATATTCAAAGTAAAAGAATAAAATATTTCCGAGTACGAACCGAAGTCCATGATCTACGCAAAACATAGCACAATATCCAGGAAGTCCGCGTTCCTTCATTTAACTAAATTGTTTCAATGCTTCAATAACAGAAATCGGTCGCGTTTGATCAATTATTTAAGCAATGAAGATAAATAACGAAGGAAATGAGAGTCGCGAACGTGTTAAATAAACGATGCATTAAAAAGTAAGCTGCATCTAAAGACAAATTCAATTTAATTTGCCACTAGAACTATCAAAATCTGTCTAAATATTCTCTGAAAACGGTCTCAAATAGACTAAAAATAGTCTCTGATTTCTGCAATAATTAATGAAATCATGGAAACGTTTCTAAGAAAATTTTGTCGACAAACTTCTTTGCTAAAGCAGAAGTTATGTTCCACGCTTTGGATATTTCTGACCTAAATAAACAAATAAATAAATAAATAAATTCGTACGACAATAGACGAAGAAGACAATAAGAGACTGGTAAATATTAAACGTACCTCGACGGGTGCCAGAACGTTCGCCGCAAATTCCTCAGGCACGTTTCCAGGTGGTTGGTAGAAGCAGACGATATACGTTTCCTTGTCGTCGCCGATCGCCGTGCCGATTCCCAGCGAAGTGGTTGCTTTCCAAACGAGTTGCGTGAAGCGTCGCACGTCCTCGACGTTCTTCGGCGTCTCCTCGCCGTACTTGAAGTATCTGCCCTCGCGGTACCTGGGAGCCAATTAAATACGGACGGCCTCTGAACGATTTGGAATTCAAATCCGATCGGCGAGCGGCCCGCGTAAAATAGCAATGCCGTCGGGATAATAGGTTTTCAGTGTTTGCCAAGGACTAACCAGAGCTCGATCGGATCCTCCGGCTTCGCATTTTCTGGCGAGTCCCGAAGGAACCCCGCGAATATGTTCTCGCCGTAGTCGGGATCCGATTTGTACACCAGCATGCCCTCCTCGGCCAAACGGTCCGCCCATTTCTGCGCCGATTCGCTCAGCTGGAAATCCCGGCAACCTGATGAGCCCCGTTAATCCCGTGGAAAAATGTCCGTCCGATAGAAAATGGCGAACGAAATTAGAGAGCAATGTGATCCGTCGGATCAGCGGAGCTTTGAAAATAATTCGCCGCGATTAACCCGTTCGCCGGCTGCCTCTGCGAAGCGAGTCCCGTTCCACAGCCCCCAGGGCGACTGCGGCGAAAATATGTCCTTACTCTACATGGGTCTTTCCGATGTACACTACCGGCCAAAAGTTTCGAGTCGCTGCGAGTTTTAAACGGGAAACGCGATATATCAGAGAACAGTGACTCCGAAGCCCCTCGCGCGATAATCTTCGATTTATTCGCAATACTCCGCAAAGAATAACCTACTTTTTCAAATGTCATAATAGAATATTTATCGAATAATGCATATTAAATTTTTTTACTCGCAAATAAATCAAACGAAGCGATACAAAAATTTCATTAAGCTCGAACACCTTATACGCTCCGCTGGGCCGTGGATAGGAGATTTTAGGATATTGAATTCATTATTTTATGAGGATATTTTATAACAAAACGACACGCAGCAGCATCTACGACGACGGTGGCTGTAACTGCGATTTCGGGCCGTCGCTGCTAGCGAAAGGGTCAACCCATCGCGTATCCAACGACGAACACGGCCGTGTCTGCTCTATCGAAAATCTGATAAATCAGGGTCGCAACGAGAGCCGAGGTGAATTTACGATCGTCTAAATAAATCCCGGTCGAACGGATTAATAAAAAAAGACACATGCCCGCGCGGAGTATTTAGCAAAGGGATACGGCAGTTTCCATTTTTCACGGGGCGCGTCGGGTGTCGTGCGCGGAACAAATGGGATATCTCCTGGAAAAAATAAGAGGGCAACGTACCTCGTCGATAATTTCCAACGGCGGAGAATTATGAGTCTGCCTGTACCGATTATGCAGCTCGAGCAACCTATCGGCGAAGTCCTCGGGGAATTTTCTGCGAACGGAGCGCGGTTATTCTATGCTCGGAAAAGGTTTATCCGTCTCGTTGACCATACTCACGCCATCCTGGATGATTCGGTGGGTCCTAAACGTCGCGCGGCATGATGCTGTTCGATGGGCGATCGGATCGAGACGGGCTGCGACGATGGGAGACCGTTCTTCCGGCTACATTTTTGGCACGGCGAGGGCTCAGGGCTTTAGGTTAGGCGAGCAGGAAGCGCCGACATCGCGGCAAACAATCGCGAAACAGATTCCGGCTTCTCTTCCGGCGCGAGTCGCGTCTTTGTCCCGGCACAATGGCGGACTTAATGAAATGCTTCGCGCCCTCCCACGCTCGAAAGTTTAATCCGGCGAGGGCCGCCGCGATATATTCCAAATCGTCCTTCGTATCGGGCGATTCGACGCGACCGCGAATTCAGGTCAGCATTACCGTCCTGCAAAACTACGCGCTATGCACCGCTCGGACCAAAATAACCGGCCGTATATTTGCTCGCCCCCTAATGCGTGCAAAACAAACGCCCCCTCCGCGCGAATTCTATTTCCACGCGGGATACGCGACGGAAATACCGGCGGCTACCTGGCCGCGGAAAAATCGTCTTCCGGGGTCCTTCGACGGCCACGGCACGTGGACCTGAAACAGACGGAAATGTTCTCAGCGGAGCCCCGAAAATGTGTCTGCAATTTCAAAATATTTTCGACGATGCGAGAAACCGTGCGTTCGGCGCCAATTTATTGCTTCGATCGTTGGAGGAAAGACTTTGTAAATAACGTTTCATTTTGGGGAACTTTTGGCCGAGTATAGACAGGGCTAGACCACTTGAATCAACACCTGGAAACGTAATTGCTCTTTAAAAGTCTAGAGAGGACAATTAAGTATTATAAAAGTGCCCATTAAGTGTCTGCCATCGGATATTAATGACTGAAAACGTGACTTCGTTCGCGGGTCTTGTTTCAAGAATTATTGTCCGACGACGTGCAAGCGTAGACCAGTCAAACGAACCCCTGAAAACAAATTACTCTTTGGAATTCTAAAAGGAATAATTGTGGATGATAAAAGTGTCCATTCGATGACTATTATCGCGTGTGAACGATTAAAACGATGAGCTTGTTCGCGAGTCTTCTTCTTTGAAGAATTATTGTCCGACCGTGTTCGAGGATAGACTACTTAGACGAACTCCTGGAAACCTTTTATTTCTGAAAATCGTAAGAGGAATGCTCGAGGAAGACAGAAACGTTCGTTCGTTCGTTCGAAGTCCTTTCGGATATCAATGATTGAAAACGTGACTTCGTGCACAAGTCTTCTTCCAAGAATTACAGTCTGACGACGGGCAAGGGTAGACTACTTAAAGGAACTTTCAAAGTACCGCTGTCCTCTGAAATAACGGAACGAGTACTTCAGGAAGATAGAAGCGTCTCTCATTTTCACTTGTTAATTATTTGAAAAACCTGGCTGCGCACGCGAGCATTTAATTCGAGAGCTATCGTCTGACCACAGGCGAGGCTAGACCACTTGAACCGATCCCTGGAGAACGATCGTCCCGATGTAAAATCCGCTCGACGGCTTTCGCGCATTTTCTAACATTCTGTGTCGATTCGACGATAACATTGCCGACAGATGCGTCGAGCAATTAGCGCGATGCTGGTCTTGATTATGGTTTATTCATGGTTCGACCGAATCATGAATCATGAAAGCGTAATCCTCCCAACGTTAACATCGTCTCCCTCGTGATTCCGGTGGTCTCGCTTCGTTTTTATCATCCTGCACGCCGCTGCACAGCTCGTGGAGATGAACCGAAGCAATTAGCGGGGTGCCGGGGGTGGTTGGGAGACCGTTTCGTGGGAAGATACTGACGGATCGCCGGTTAATCCTGTTCGCAGATACGCAGAGGGCTGCACAGGCTGCAGGACGCGTTGGCGCTGGTGGAGAAGAACACGCTGGGTCTGCAAACAAACTGCGCCTCGGTCGCGGAAGAGGTGGACGAGATTTATCGGAGGCTGAGCAAGGCTTTGAAAGACCGTACGGAACATCTGCGTAACGAGGTCGATCGATACCTGAGCACCGAGCTCAGAGGCCTGATTCAGCTCAAAGAGAATCTCGAATTGGAGATCGCGAACATCCAGAGCAACTGCGATCTGGCCGAGGCTCACATCAACGAGAACGTGCCCTGGGACGATTCCGAACTTCTCGACACAAAGGAATTGTTCCTCCGCACCGTGGAATTCATCAGGTTCGTTCCTGCCCCGTCCTGTACGGCCATCCGCTCCGTAATCCGGCGTCTCTGTTTTCCAGACCGCGACCTCCGGTTACGTCGCAAACAGACTGCGGATCTCTGTGCAAAATAAAGACTGTCCACATCAATTGCAAGACAGTCAGGGAGCCAGCTGATTTCTTTTTTAGTTCGTTATTAATTTTAACCGGTTAGCTGGTGTGTGACGCCTCCTTTTTAGAGCGCGCGCCTGTACGTGTCGCGAGAATCGAGCGACGACGAGTATACTCGTCGAACATTTTATTACTGATATTTACTTATGTTCTTGTTTCCACTAAAATCACAATTTAAATGGCCAATTTATCGCTACTTTTTACGCACGACGAGTATACTCGTCACGGCACAAAATATAACCACTTCTCCATGACAAGTATACTCGTCGAACACAGCTGACTGATTAATAAGTTTCAATTGACCCATGGTATTCTCAGTTTCTTATAATCTTCGAAAGTTGTGTCCGCTCATCTTTTTTTCCATAAATGCATAAAATCCGCGGTCTGGCCATAAGTAACAGGTGTCCCGGATTTGCCCAACCGGAGGCCACGCCAATGAGAAAACAAATTAANACCGTACGGAACATCTGCGTAACGAGGTCGATCGATACCTGAGCACCGAGCTCAGAGGCCTGATTCAGCTCAAAGAGAATCTCGAATTGGAGATCGCGAACATCCAGAGCAACTGCGATCTGGCCGAGGCTCACATCAACGAGAACGTGCCCTGGGACGATTCCGAACTTCTCGACACAAAGGAATTGTTCCTCCGCACCGTGGAATTCATCAGGTTCGTTCCTGCCCCGTCCTGTACGGCCATCCGCTCCGTAATCCGGCGTCTCTGTTTTCCAGACCGCGACCTCCGGTTACGTCGCAAACAGACTGCGGATCTCTGTGCAAAATAAAGACTGTCCACATCAATTGCAAGACAGTCAGGGAGCCAGCTGATTTCTTTTTTAGTTCGTTATTAATTTTAACCGGTTAGCTGGTGTGTGACGCCTCCTTTTTAGAGCGCGCGCCTGTACGTGTCGCGAGAATCGAGCGACGACGAGTATACTCGTCGAACATTTTATTACTGATATTTACTTATGTTCTTGTTTCCACTAAAATCACAATTTAAATGGCCAATTTATCGCTACTTTTTACGCACGACGAGTATACTCGTCACGGCACAAAATATAACCACTTCTCCATGACAAGTATACTCGTCGAACACAGCTGACTGATTAATAAGTTTCAATTGACCCATGGTATTCTCAGTTTCTTATAATCTTCGAAAGTTGTGTCCGCTCATCTTTTTTTCCATAAATGCATAAAATCCGCGGTCTGGCCATAAGTAACAGGTGTCCCGGATTTGCCCAACCGGAGGCCACGCCAATGAGAAAACAAATTAAACGATACCTGTTATCCCGCGAAACGCGATCGCCGTGATCCTCGGGGACCAGTCCCCGGGATCGCTATTTATTTAGATCGCTATTTATCCGACTGCCTGCCTTCTTGGCTTCTTCTAATTATCGACGAACTTCACCCCCGCGCTCTTCAATTTCAGTCACTTTTAATTACGTTGCCTTTGTTGTCGCCATCGTTAAGATCGCGGAACACGATCCTGGAAATTACGTACACGCGGCACAGTATCCGCCGTCTCTTTTAACACAGAGATATAGCTTCGCGCGACCCTAATTTTCTAAAAGTTTCAACCCCTTGCCATACTTTCGCGAGTCTGGCCCGTCGTGCTCGTTCCTAGTAATAACCTGTCAAGTATGAATGTTCTCTTCTCATCAATATTTAATGTTTTCTAGTTAGAGCCATCTTAAGCCTAATTGCGAGTCCAGAATAGTTTTTCTGATCTATGTTTAAATTGTGAAATTTGAACCGTTATAATTATTGTAATTATGGTGAAGATGGTACGGTAAAGGGTTAACCCTTTGCACTCGAAGCTAGTTTAATTTGCGACTTGCAGTACTTTCATTTTACACGATTCATTGCATCTTATTTTTGACTTTAAATTACTACTTTTCTTATCATCATTTCACACATACGACGTCGATTGACCGCTACCAATAATTTAAAAAAAGAGGTCGCCCATAGTGATCGAAAGTTTGGTCACCTCTGCAATAGGCACATCCGATATTTACACTTTTTAATGAACAGTTTTTCAATGCAAACAAATTTGATGCTGTCGAAACTGCTGTGAAACATGCTACAGCAATCTTTCAGATAAAAACATACCAACAACAGAAACAAGTAGGCTTGCGCTTCTCTGAAATTTCGGATCGCGGATCAATGCTAAAAATGAGATACTAAAAAAGTCGCGATAAAAATCGGCGGCGAACACCGAAGTACAATGTTTCGTAGCTGGCGAGAACTGGCCGCGAAAGGAGAGTCTCGATGAGCTCGCGATCGGGATAAAAGCAATACGGCCGGCCGACTAATACGTTGTACGATTGCAGGATATATGGCGACACTTACACGGGCCATCCCCGGCACCGCGAACGCCATAAATCTCGCGTGTTCCATCGGCAGGCTAAAAGCCGTATTCTCCGAGGGGAGCGTCAGCGCGCGCGCGCGTACCGCAGTCGGAATATAATGAAAGTTTTCCTCTAATTTTATAACAATCGTGCTAGGTACGCGGCACGCCGCACTTTTCCAAATTGCTTCTCCGATATTCCGCGAAAGTTTCCGACTTCCCCGAGGTGCTCGGCGCACCGCCGCGCCCCGCGCCGCGTCGCGCCGCGCCGTCGCCCGCCTACCGTCTCCCAAGCCGCGGAACCGGAGAGGAGAAAAGGACCGAGGACGAGTCAACTTTTGCACTCGATCCTCTCCGCGGCGCATAATGCGAACGGAGCCTTTCATCCCGGCCTTGTCGAAAATTCCGCTTGCTCCTCCAGTTTTCCCGACACGCCGGCATACTAAACCCGACCCTTTTCGTTTTTAAACGCTCCCCTGCCTCCGGCCGTTTCGCCTATCGTGCCCGTCAGGGGAAACGTTGCCCGGAAAACCGGCCCGGAGAAACTTCGAAAAATCTCTTTCTTCCACGACGTCGAACTAACGAATGAGCGGACGATCTTGGGAACGATCTACCGAGGAAGAAATAAGGCCGCGCGCTTTCCACCGTCGGGCTTCGAACCTCCTTGGCTGGAATTCTCTCGCGTCTAGGGCAAACAAAATGGGGAAGACTATTGGGCTCGCTCGCACAGTTCAGCTTATTTTTGTACCGAAGTTTCCTGAAACAGATGCGACCTCTTTTTCGGCGGTATTAAGGGATCGAAGGTGTGCGTTAATGCTCTGCGAGTTTTGAGCAGCGAAATGATAGAAATATTTGAGAATGCTGTTGCATTGTTTTCTTGTTGTAATCATTCTTTTTATCTCATTTATGCAGATCATCTTCGAACGTTTAATTTAAACATGCTGCGGTGTTATCTGAAAGTTGTCTGAACTGTTAAGAGAAAATCTGGTTCTTTTAGTTGGTGCAGACATTCGCTAAATATCGGAAATATTACAAAAACGTTGCTACATTATAATGTTAAAATTGATAAAATCGTTAGAAGAAAACCTACTTGTTTCAATCGCTGCAAAAGATGTTCAGTGAATGTCAGATTTAAATGACTGCAGTGTTACAATTATCGAAAGAAATTCTGGTTCCTTTGAGCGATGCAGAAAACGCATCACTGTACACAAAGACTCGAATCCAAATCTTCGTAAACTCATTGCAAATAATTAATAGAACGCCTGCCCCATTTAATCGATGCGGAATACGATGACTCCGCGTGAAGATTCCAAGCCAAGGAGGGTTGCGAACCACAGTAAATTCTCCCCAATTTTCCTTCAGCTTGTAAACGAAAATGGACAATATGGAACGAGAAGATACGATTACAATAATTTCTCTCTAATTCGCGCACAGATTGCGCACAAAAATGGGCAATTTGGGAAGAGGAGATACGATTATTCGAGCCTCGCGACTTATTTTTATAACTGCCTATTGTCAACAATTATAAAAACGAGGTACAAGGTGCCTCACCTTCGCAACTTGCCCCTTTTTGTTTTACAAGCTGAAGGAAAATTAGGGAGAATTTACCGTAATCCAAGAACAATAATCAACGAAGCGCGAATAATCAAAGCGCGACGCTTCTATAGAACCGAAATGAGAAATAGCGTTTGGGGGTAAAGTTCCGGCTGAGTAGGTTCCAAAGGAGTGTTACTCGGCCGAAGAGGGTGCGGAGGGTGATGTGCGGAGCGTTAATTTCCGACGGTGTTGCAGGAACTTCGAGTACGAGGCCGGGGATTACAGTCGTCGGGTGCGTTTCGTGATGGCGCACGACCCTAACCAGCTGGTCCTCCACGTGGCGGGTTACGGCGAGCTGAATATTAAGCCGGAGACCGGAAGCGGAGGATTGCTGGGCAGCTCGAGCGGCCTGGTGCCACCTGGAGGATCGCCGGGACTCATGAGGAGCAAGAGCGACCATCGTCTGGCCTCGCAGTACAGGCAGCAAGAGGAGGAACGGCTGGCGAGAAATCGATACGTGCCCGAATACGAGTAATTATCGCCGTTTTCATGTTTTCATCCAACAATACCCCCCGCGCGTACCAGATTTCTCCTTGCACCTCTCGCGGAACTTCAAACTGCAGTTACCAGTCCGGCCTCTCTCCGCCATCCACCTGCAGCTCCTTTGCATAACAGCCGTTTGTAAATAAAAGCAGCAGAGTGTTCTCGTTAAACTTCTTACGCCGGCACGGTTAAGCGGGGGCCAGAGAATTATGCGAATATTCCGAGAGATTACCGGGAAACGTATCGCCCCGATTATGGCCCTTTTCGTGGGCTAAGAGCGAGCTCTCCGTTCATGAGCGAAACGAGTTACCGAAGACGTTTTATGCATCTGCCGGAGATATATGTATACGTATATAGGTATTCCGCCGTGTTTCAAGAGATTTGGATATTTCGATCTAGCTTTACGACCGACACTGCGTTTCGATATTCTCTGGTCTCGAGTCGGTTGACTTTAGTTTGGCGATAATTAACGCTGGAGATACCACGCCGCTAGAAATAACTAGTTTCCGACTCGTTCTCTTTTACAGTTCCTAATATATTATAAAAATGTTTCTGTGAAATATTCATTTCTTTAGTCAAGCTTTGATTATAGCAGAGATCGTGCGCATTGATATATAACAATTTACATTGGGTGGCGTTTAGGGTGTTAAGGTTGGAAAGGATTTATTCTAAATATTAGAAAAAAAATCATTCATGCATGATTCTGTCACACATCACTCAAGAGTATTATGAAATTAGAAGATGATGAAAATAGGATCGACGGATAGAGCAATTAGCGAGTGCACAGCTGATGGAAATTCACTGTGAGTGCCACAGCATGATCAGCGGTGATGAAAAATAGATAGTCGTGCAGTCCTCGAAATATCCAGATACTTACGAAACGACTATGAGAGTCTGTGGAACTATTTTTCTTCACGAAAAAATCGAGAGAAACGAGAGTGTCTGGCAAATGGAAAATCACGTTGAATGCCACAGCCTAATCCATCATTATTTTGACAGGGAATAGATAGTAATGCGAGCATAGAAGTACAGTAAATTCTCTCCAATTATCCCACAGCTTCTGAACAAAAATAGACAATTTGGAAAAAGCGAGTCGCGAGGCTCGAATAATCGTGCCTCCGCTTCCCAAACTCTCCATTTTTGTGTACAAACTGACGAACAATTTGGACCAATTTACTGTATTCAGATACTCAAGAATAGTAGCATGAGTACGAATCCATAGTAGTCTATGGAACGATTCGACTCCTTCCTCCATGAAAACTCGAAGAGATATAAAATCGCAGGCGATGCAAAAGCTAGAAGATGTCGCTAAAGAGCGTAGAGATGATTCTTGCAAAGTAGGAGGTCGAGACGCGAAAGGGTGTCCAGCGCGTGTCGCAAGGAGGAAGGAATTCGGAGCTTTAGCCGGCTGACCGGTAAAAACTTGTCTGACCGTGGACGCGGATCGCTTTGGACAATCGCCAAACGGGATCCGTGGCGGGCATACATTTTTCAGGATGTCCCACATATCTATTCTAGCGAACGTTATAAATACACGGCGCGGCTCTCCCCCGGCCGTATCTTTTTCGGCGGGCTGCTCGCGGCGGGGCGGAGAGAAGAGGAACGCTCGGAACTTCCTCGAGGCCGAAATAGGCGCGTCCGAGTTTAATTACTGGCCGGTTCCCGTGTGATCCGCCGCGACCGGGCCGGTTTTATTAAGCCACCTCGTCAAAATGTAAATGAAAAGCTTCTGATATAATGGCCCCCCTCGCGTAATAAACAGTAATTAACGGGAGTCCCGGGCACAAACTGGCTGCGCCGGGTCGCGTCTCGTCGCGCCGCCTCGCACCCGGTGTCCCCGATACCGCAACAAGAAACCGCAGCCCCCTCGCACGAGTCGCCCCCCGCCCGGCCCCGCGGCTAATTCGTCGGTCTTCCTGATAATTACGGTTAATTACTCGACCGAGACCGGCGGCCGCACGCAAGAAGCCGCGTTCGTGCGAGAGAAGCCCTTTCGAAAGTTTTTCGTTGCCGCGACCCCGCTCTGCCGTGACTTATTTGTCGCCGGATTACAGGACGAGCTGCCCTTTGATTTACCGAGCCAAAGAAGACGGCGAATGCCGCGCGAACCGGGGCGGGGAACGCCGCATTTCACCCCTAATTTATACCCGCCGCGGAGGACACGCGCCGGCTCGGGAAAATTAAAAATTTCTGTCGGGCCGGGAAAATCGTGGACGCGAGATTAGAGAGGGCGGACCCATCTTTCAGAGTGATCAAGGGTAGAGGCAAATTTGCGACGCGCCGAAAATACAAACGGAGCACGGGCTGGATGCCCGAAAGAAAATGGGAAATGCTCGTGAAAGAACGTCAAGCTTTTCGTTCGCTTTTAAAAAAGAGCTCGTTCGCAGTTCGCCTCTCTGATAATATCTGTTCATTTTTAATAAATCGTTCGTATCGAAAGTAAAAGAAGGTTCTACGTGATCGCTGAATATCTCGCATCGTGCCAGCTTGTTCGCATATAGAAAATATTGTCGATATTTTCCAGCAGCTGAGACGTGTCCTCGCCAGAGTTGGGCAAAGAGTAATCTGATCTATGATCAACGATTGTGACGTGAAATCGTGTACACGATTAATGACTACGATTACTAAGTAATCGAGCGATCATGAATAACTTAAATAATCAAAGCAAACGTAAGCGTTGTTCATAATTAACACGGTAATCGTTAAGAATGTAATCATTGATCGTTTAATTGCATACTTTTATTACGATTAACTGGAAGATTTGTCATTATGGTAGTTAATAATAATCCTGGATAATAATTTGGAAGATCTGCGCGTATTTCACGTCTCGATAAAAGATTTTTTTAATTTGTCATTGGAAAAGATAAATTCGTCCGAGATCACCGATTTATTTCCAGCAACGATCACGGTCTCTCTTTTCGCGATCAACTGCAAAAGTGAGGTGAAAACAATCGATTACCGGCGAACTCGGGTCGTAATTTAGCTCGAAGATATCGATAACGCGTCAATAAGCGCAACTCGGAGCTCGGGACTCCCACGAGCGGAAGATCCCCGGGTCAATTACCGTGAACCGCGCGCCCACGATTTTCTCTGATTACAGAAATTCAGGCCGGTGTCTGCGAAGCGATAATTAAGCAACACTCGGCTAAATCCGACGGGACTATTGCCGCGCGCTGCCTTGAAAAGCAGATAACCCAGTTCCCGTAAAATCACGGGGAACGGAGCGCTCCCGGCAAAGGGATTAATCGTAACAGGGAAAATCGTTATCCCTTTCGACGCGCCACTGTCAACGGAGAATTACCGTCCGAGGCTTTGACCTCCCAGCCGTTCTCCCGTCCATCCTTTGTCGGTCCTCGGAAAAATGTCGTTCGATTTGACGATGGGTAATTAGGGAATCGTGGCTCAGCCCCGGATAACAACGCGCGCCGATGATACCCGTCGCTCGGGATTACCGCGACCGAAACTCGTCGCTTTGTAGTCAGCTTTCACCGGCTCGACCCGAGTGGACTCCACCGGGATTGTTAGTGACAGCGGGGAAACGGTATTACAGGATCTGTATCCCCTTTCTCCTCCTCCTCCTCTTCCTCTTCCTCCGCGTCCTCGTCCTCGTCCTTCTGCTCCTCGCGAAGTCTCGAAGACGGCCAGCCGCTCGGTATCTTCGTCGACGGTGTACTCCAATTTCGAAATTGCCCTGATAAATCTCACCGAGATTCCCGATCTCTTCGTTTCCTTTCTCTGTTCCAACTTCTAACTAACGGCGATCTGCGATTAACACTTTGATTGCCGCGTTATCCGTACGCGTGACAGAATTATTTCCTCGGATTTGGAAAGTCATTCTCACGCCAATTTATTTCACGTTCCGAATTTCATTGGCGTTCGCGAAACGCAGTCGATTTTTATTTGATTGGACGATGCACTTTAATTTTGCAAAGTAAAGCAACTCTAAAGGTTGCTGGCGCGGCGGTCAAAGTGTTAATCTCGAGGGAGGCTAGCTGTAATTTCGCGAGGAGACTGAGATATTCGACAATCGCTTCCGAAAAATTGCAGCTGAATTTGGTTGATTTTGAGGGGACACTTTCGCTTTGGAGGGTCATTTTCGGATCAAAGTTTGATCGAGAGTCGGTAGACTTAGGAAATTGCAAATATTCCGCTGGGTTTGTTGATGTGACGAGAAGGTGCAGTGAAATTTTCAAGCAGATATGTTCCTTATTGATGTAGTTATTGCATTTTAGCTACCACGATTTATGCGCCTATATATTGCCAAATATCTAACGATGAAAGAGAATCGAGTCGATCTATTGTTACAATTTTTTAACAGAAAACAAGAGACCGTCTATTTCGCATGTGCATAAAATTTCCAAAAGATCGTCTCTTATGGTCCCAAGAAAATTGCACTCGAGTATGAACAGTTTTTAAATACTCAACCTTGGACCACCTAAATAAAAGTTAGCTCTCCGAATCAGCATGATCCAGGTCCCCTCTCGGCCTCGGATCACAAAAATCGACTAACCAATAATCGTCAGCTTGAAGAGCATTAATGCCTCGCTACTAGCTCGCCAGCCATAGCATCGCCGCTAACTCAGTGACAGCTACTAACTCCATAAATACAGCATCGTATCCTTAGGCTGTTCTAATTGAACGTCGCGGAGCATCTAAATCACTGTCGCCGATGCAAAGTTACCGCATCGCGGTGCTGTCGATTCCGACATAACCAGCGAACGTCCGACCATAAATCGACAGACGCGATTCAATCGGGCCGCGATACGTCGATGCGACGTTCAATTACTCGAGCCGGCAGCCGTCATCTTCATCTTAGACCATGTACAGGATGTCCCAAAAATGTCTCGCAATCCGAAAATGAGAGAATCCTGAGGCTATTCGAAGTAACTTTTTCCTTAGCAAAAATTCAATCCGCGGTTTTGTTTACGAGTTATTAACGAAAAACGTTGACCAATGAGAGGCGATATCAACTGGCAACTGGAGACGGCCGCGGTCAACGAGCGGAACTGAGCTCCGTGCGCTCATTGGCTGGGCAGCCTCGCGCCATCCGAGCTCGCCTCTCATTGGTCACTGTTTTTCGTTAATAACTCGTGAACAAAGCCGCGGATTGCATTTTCGCTAAGGAAAAGGTCACTTCAAATGATCTGAGGAATCTCCCACTTGCGGATTGCGAGACATTTTTGGAACACTCTGTATATCTATGCTATTAGACACGGCCGTGTATAGCGCGTGTACAGAAAAGCCAACAGCTCGGTGATAAAAGAGATGAACCGCGAAAGATGGTTCACCGCGGCGTGTCGCGGAGCAAAAATATGATCGTTCAAAATGGCTGGCACTCGCCATTTTCAGTGGTACTCGTATTCGCTATCCATCATCGTGTTTTTGAGCATTTTTTAAAAGAATCAAAGTGTAGTAACGAGAACGTATCTTTCCTCCAGCAAGTATCTAATTACTCTTAATCTAGGTATTGGCTAAATGGGATATTTATCATTCGATCAATTGAATTTGCCTTTTAAAAGTTAAACATTTCATAACAATATTAATACGATTCAACGCGTTTGGAACATCGGGACATCGGTGCGTTTCGAAATTGCAGATGCAGTGAATTCTCCCCAATTATCCCCCGGCTCGTGAACAAAAGTGAACAATTTGGAAAAAAGGGATGCGATTATTCGAGCCTCGCGGCTCGTTTTCATAATCGCCGATAGTCAACGACTATCTCTCAAATACAGCCGCGAGACTCGAACGGAGGAGACTTCGCATCTCCTCTTCCCAAATTATCCATTTTGGCATAGCAGCTGAGGGACAACTGAGCAGGATTTCCTGTACGTCGCGCTAGCATAGCTTCTGCATCGAGTTCACCGTGACGTGACGCAGGTTCGTTGCCTCGGGCAAACTATCCGAAGCCGCGTCTATAGCCGCATACGGTCTAAGATCTTCGCCGACTCATCCTTCACCCGACGTTCCAGGACCCACGGCGAAAACTCACCTGAAGTAAAGTTATCACATCCACAGCTACGACGCGCCGGAGTACGAGGTCCCGCGGAACAAGTCGAGGTACCGGAGCCGTTTCATGCGGCACCGCGACGGCGACGACTCCGACGGCGACACGAGGTCCACCGTCAGGTTCACGTCGACGCCGCAGGAGTCTTCGGGGATGCGGGAGCGGGTCCTGGACACCGAGGACGCGGCCCGCGGCCCTTTGTCCGGCATATTCCGGCTGACCGACTCGCCCAGGGTCATGAGGAAGCTGCAGGAGTACGAGAGGGCCGGCAAGAGGAAGAAAGAAGAGCCCGCGCCGCATCCCGTGCAACAGACCCAGCCGAAGCCTCAGGTTAATTGAACTCTTCGCTTTATCTTTCAAAGCTTCAAGGTGTCCAGCCGTCCCCTAAAGCGGACCGCCCGGGATATGTCCCTAGAAAAAAAAGCTTTTCCGCTCCGCTCGAAACCGCGCTCGAGCTCGTTCAGTTTTTACAGCGGTTATCGATCTCCCGGCAGCACCCCGCGCACCCGCCTCTGCCCACCTCCGAAAACGGTCCGACCGATTTCATAGGCTCCTTACGGGTCCGGCGGAACATGCAACGCAGCACGCTGGGCCGAAGTGTGACGGAGTTCTGTCGAGATCAAAGAACTTTTGATAGATGTCGGACAAAGGGAATATTTTTTTTCTCCACGCTGAAATGTTGCAGAATAGGGGAAAATAGGGAGAACGTAACGTGTGCTGCTTTTAACTTTGAAGTTTATGTTAAGTTTGAGGTATTACTGATTTACCTGGTACAGTAACGTCTCCCTAATTAGATTGTGCACAAAAATGGACAATTTGGGAAGAGAAGATACGATTGTCCCAAATTGTCCATTTCTGTGGACAAAAAGAGCGTCAATTAGGGAGACATTACTGTACCGTGTGCAGGTGTAGATTTTGACACGTTCATTTAAAATTTAATCGCGAAATTTATCTGCCACTTCAAGATTTTCAGAAATAAATCGATTTCAGCGACTTCTTCGGTGAACTGATTTAACAAGCCTCCGATTGTTTCTCTTCTTTTTTTAATCCGGAAATGACAGATAAATTAAGCGACCGGATTTGAAATCAGCCTGTCAAGATCTACGTGAAATGACATCTGACGGTGTCATAAAGAAAATCCTACAGCGCATAGTGCTCGACATAAATCTTCAATGATAAGAAATGTTCGCACCGCGTTCCCTCTGTTTCTTTATTATTCTGCAACAGTTCGGTCGAAAGTTCCACGATTTTGACCCAACTTCGCCACTTTGACCGACCGTGCGCCGCGAAGGATTGTTGCGCGCCGAATCTTCGCGATTGAAACGAACCGCCCCCGCGCCGGTATTGTTCTCCGGATCTCGGCTCCCGCGGAGAATTGTTATCGCGAGCAGCACTCGATAAACAGCCTACACTGTCGCTCAAAAGTAGACCCGTCGGGTTCTCCGATTTTCCGACGAAGGGAACCAGCGATCCGGTGCTCGCGCTGCCTGCCGCTAATTGTGCGCCGCTGAAATATGCATTGTGGCTCGTGTAGCTGCTGTTTAATTATTCGACAGACTCCGCAGCGCGTACTTCTGGATTATGAAACGCGTGTCGCCGCGCACGGCGGACGCGCGACTTTGATGCAGACGGTTTCCGCTATTTTAGGACGCCAAGGTCTGCCCGTCTTTTTTAGCTGAATCGCCGATTCGGGGATTCGTGGACGCACGAATTAGCGATACAGTGATTTCTCCCGGAAATGTTCGCAGTAGGAATCGAAACGCGCAGATCCGAGAATACTAAGTCGCGCTAAGACACGATTCTTCGAGCGATAGTCGATTGGCGTTGCCGTTTCGTTGCATCGACTTGGTAGGGAGCTTTCTAATTCGATGCATCGTCGAGTAGAATGGTTCGATAACGAAGAATTATTTGGATGCCAGTCGTGCATTCGATCATTAATCGATTTTCTAAATGTTGCGTATGGATCGCCTTAGGTCGAGCTACTTGTGAAACTTGTTTAGGTAATCGCGAGTTTAGATAGAATTTCAGATAATAGAGGTTCTAATGTAGTTTCGGTAGCTGTAGACGTGTGCTGATCTTCTCATCCGAGATTTAAATCATAGTACATTAGCAACGGATACATAGAAGACTTTGCATTATTATTTATTTATTCATTAACAGGTATGTTGCTCTTTATGTACATTAACGATAACAACTGGACCGCGGATTTTATGCAGTTGTACGACAGAAATGATCGAATAGAAAACAGTGACAATATTTGAAGAATTAAAAAATAGCATTTCGTTGCTTTCAACGCGACAAAGTAATTAAAAAAGAAAAAGGATAGTGTCTACTAGGTAGATAGTAAGCATTTTTATTTTGCATAAAAGTCCGTCGTCTGAATAATAAAACAGCGATATCTAAGAGAACATTAAACTTGATCAAATCCATTCTGATAAGACGATGAAATCTCTGCTAATTGTGGAACATAATCTTTCGTTCGAATTTCCCACGATTCATTCGGACGCATCGCGAAGAGATTTGCCACAGATTTGCCTTGAATTAAGTTGTAGATCGGAGAAGATCGTTTAATTCTCCGAGCGATATTTCTTGAAAGAACTACGAGAAAAGTGGGAACCGGCGACCATTCGCGATCGTGCGGACACTTTTGAGCGCCAGTGTACAGCTCGATGGCTCCTCGAGCTCCATAGTATCGTGTCCCGCGTGTCACGTTAGAAATAAAAGTTGAGCGACTAAATAACCGATCATGGATGAATGGAATAGCTCGTGAATTTCACACGGTCCGTATTTGTTTTTGACAGTGATCCGACCGCTCGTGAATATTTCCCACGGATTCCCTTATTACGGCGGCTCGCCACGACGGGGAGAGGGGCACGGCGGGAGATCTCCGAGTAACTCGGGTTAGAGATCGTCCTGGACGCGATCCATGAGCAAACGATAAATTTTTGATCGGTGAACCCGCGTGGCCACACGGATATCCTGCCTCCCACGGTTGCTACACAGCCACATAAAAACCATGTGTATATATGTAGATGCATGACGGCCCGACGTATGGACACGTAAAGGGCGTAAATCTTCCGAGAGGACGACTCTCGAAATAATTTCGATATCTCCACGGGATATCGAGGACAGTGTAAGAGAAATAGAGAGAGAGAGAAAGAGAGAACGCGAGAGAGCGAGAGAGAGAGTGAGATGCAATGTGTGCTTGATCTCTGGGCTCATAAATATGTAAATAATTGAAGAGACGAATGGATGATTCGAAGTGTGTAGACACTACATGTGCTTTTGTACCGAAGTGCGATCCTGTTGTTATATAAACGAAAGAATACACGAATACAATTATTTCTCTCCTAACTGCTCGTATTTCCTTCTCGGAGTCATCCGCGAGAGACCAACCCCATTCTCCGTCCCGTACACGATCTTCGAATGGCGCGCATGAGACCGCAGTTCCGCTGCGAGAACGCCGAATAAACGTACTTGTTGCTTTCCGGCTACTTTATTCGACTCCGTTGGCTTTCGCGGCTGCCTCCCCGGCGAAGGCTAAATTCTCGCACGCCGCTTTTGCCTTCGAAACAGACGGCTTCGTCGAGCCCCGAATCCCTTCGGAAAACGATGAGAACGGATCGTGGGAGCGGCGAGAAAACGTCGTCGCTTCGTTTCATTTTCCGCGCGTTGTCCGCGGAAAGCGTAGCGTCGCGATCCCGCGAGGAGGAAAAGGATAAAACGAACGGAGTTTCTCATTATGGGCGATCAGGTTTTCGTACGCGCCGGCGAATAACGCGAGCTCCCGGACGCGGGAAGAGTTCGCAGCCGCATTTTCAAGCGCGTAATCGCCGGCCGATTAATTCACCGGGAGCGTGTCCCGCGGCCGAAAAACAAACGCACCGAGGGACGTTTAATCGGGAACATTTCCGCGGAGGTCCGCCGCCGTCAGCAGTGCTAAATAATTCTGTTTATCGCGTAGGTACAGGTCAGAAAGGTACCGACCGCGATGGCGAGGCAGACCAGCGAGGACGACGAAATTTCCAGGATCAAAAAGCAGAACAAAACAGCGACCGCGCCCACCACCGAGACCGTCGAGGAACGATCGCCTGCGACGACACCTGCACTGGCCCATCCACCCCCGAGGGAACCGCCCACGGAAAGGGAACCGGAGGAACCTGCCCGAAGACCGATGACTGCCAGGTAACATTTCCTTCGACCCTTTCGTACTCCCAATCGCCAGGGTCCCTCTGTTTCTAATTGAACGCGTGACACCTGTTTCGGACAAGTTCTGAGAACCTTAGCTTGATCGCAGCTTTCACCAAGTACGGTCATTTCGCCCAGAAATGTTCGGAGATCGGAATTGAAACCGGCAGATATAAGAATACTAAGTCGCGATTCTTCGGGTTTCGCGACTCGTTTTTAGAGAAATTTGGGACAATCGGCAAAAAAATGCAGCGGCCAGCATGTCGGGGTACATTAATACGAATACATAGTGATGCTAGAATAAAAACTTCCTTAACCTTTTTATTTCTAATTTTTTGACACGATTCTCGAAGGCAATTAGGAGGCCACATGACACGATTCGACGGTCACGTTCACATAGCTTGCAGCTCCGCAGTTTTTCTTCTTGCGTCGACGTAGCAATAAATTACATAGTCGTAGGATTAGCACGGGGAAATTCACAGCAACCCGAAATTTTGCATTTCCGGGAGAAATTACATTTCTCCATTTTGACATTCTTCTTTTTAAACCACTGACGTTCCAAACTGTTAGAATTCCTCGGTTTCTAAGTAAAAATATGACAATTGTTTTAAATGAATTTTGACATCCTCAATTCGATTAGCTGTTTGTCTATCGTATAAACAAAGTGGCCATTTTATGGTGGAACAATTTCTTTAATGACCCGATACGCTGTGCACCTTTCAAGTGATGACTATATTTATTCAAGTGACTTATATCTATATTTATGAGATATTTTACAAGAGTGCAGTATTTAAAGAAAATATGACGAAAATCAAACGTAAACGGTATAATTGTACGTGCAACTTTACACACTTTCGAAACAGATTGCATCAGCTAACCGGTTAATAGAGTGACGAGCGAATTGATCCAACGTCCAGATGGAATAAATCCAACATCGACCGGCTCTCTGGAATCGTCAGCAGCCGGGGCACGAACCGGTGATTGCACAAAGGTTTATAAATATACGTCATAAAATCAGCGGGACGAGGTACCCGTGATAAATTAGGTCCCGTAACTTGCCAGAGGAACGTGCAGTTCTGATCAGATTCAGCCGTGTGCCGGCGTTAACATCGAGTTCTCGCGGCCCTCGTACCATTCGCGTTTTCCAGTAGTAGTGGAGGGTACTAGTCAGACAGCCTGATTTATGCTCGTTCGGTGGAAACGGATCGTTCCGATCGCGCGGCCAAGTTCTGCGAGCCGGTATTCAATCCAAGCTCGTGATGTGCCATTACGTTTTAATTGCAGAATCGATACCGCCCCCATGGACACCCGAAAACTGCCCCCCCCCCCCGCCGCGCGGACACTGTAAAACGTCTCGTGGCTCTCCCGCAGAATCCAAAAGCGTTTAAAGCGTTTTTTAGATTCCGTCGGCACACGATAGAACAAAGATTGCTCTTCCGAATGGCCGAGCGGAATGCTCGATTGGCGCGGTTTCCCCCTGGAAATGCAAATTTGTCTGTAACACTCGCTGAAATTTAAACGGGTCAACTTTTTGAGCCGCGGCCATCCTCCCCCCACTCGTTCCTTTCTCGATCCCGTCGAATCTCCCGCCGGGAATTTTTATGGGTTTTGTCGCGCTATGCGCGACGTTTTAACGGGATAGGATTCTAATAGTCGGAAGGGAAATAAAAGCAGCCGAATTTCGGCCGGCCGCTCTCGTTCGGCGTTACCTCTCGGCCCGAAAATTGCGGCAACAGATTCGACCAGATCAAATTGCAGAGACGCCTAAATACCTTCATCCCTTAGGGGTTGAAACGTTCTTCAATAGTAATAGTGATTAACGATGATAGGTGCGAGTATTATACGGTCGCTTTCGAATATTTCTCACTCGTGAAACGCGCTTATATTGATCCTCACGGAATATTGATCCTCAACAGACAAAATTCGCATCGAAGATCATTTTTCCGTAACACAGAGAAATCGCAGAACAAAGCACAAAAATATAAAGCATTTTCTCCTCTTTATCAATCAATTCTTCTACAGTATTATAATAAAGCACTTCCTAAACCGATAGAAAATTACCAGAGAACTGTCTATCGAGAACCTTTCAATTCCCCTCAAAACAGAAAATAATTACCGTTTCCACCGAACCAAACTTTTCTGCGAAACACGTTCATGAGACAAAAGGGTTGTCCGCGCGCAATCAGAACGAATCTTGCGAAACGTATGCTACATCCGGAACGCGTGGGGCTGGAACAGGTGTCGCGCCGAGACAGAGGGATCCCAAGAGCGGATTGGTGACGCGCGACGGGGACCCGGCCGCGAATCGCAATGCCGTGGGTTCGCAAATTACAGCGTGCGAATGCGCGGCGCCGGGTGTTGCCGGCTCGTGGAAGTCGTTAATTGAAATATCGTTGCTCGCAGGCGAACTTCGACGGATACCCACACTCCGGCGGCGAGGAGCGCTTCATCAGACTCGAGCACGGGCTCCGAGAGCTCCGGCGGATCAGGAATCCGCAGCACGGGTGCGCCATTCACCGCCGAGGAAATGAAGCAGAAATACTTGTCGAGGGCGCCGGCGTCGAACACGACGACCGCGGCCCCGCAAGGACAAGTCGGATCGACGCCCTCCAAGGATCCCGGGACCGCTTCGCCCGCGTCACGATCCTTCCAGAGCCGTTTTTTAGGCACAGGTGACCATGCAATCTGCTCCGCGCCTGCCTCGCGTTGCTCGTTTCTTTAACCGTTTGAGTCCCGAGCAGCGCGATCGCGCATTTATTCTGATCTTGGACGAAAGTTAATGTAACATTTGCCGCAAGACATACATTGAATGAACAAGTCGCAAACGCATCTTTGCGATCCGAATAATCGTAGATTAAACCATCGCGACGGATCGCGTTGATTCAAAGTCTGCTCCATCAAAATGCATGCAAATAGCGTGCAAGCTCAGAGCAAGTCGGAGAAGCCGCGGAAAGTTCGACGTCGGCCTTGTTATTCGCGAATAAATCCGCGACACTTGGGCGAACCTCCGCCGACGAAACGGGTCGTGGAACTTCGGATTGGCCTAATTACACGTCCGGAGCGTTCCGATCGGGAAACGATTTGTGCAGCGGCGGCTGTGCGCTTTATCCGAGCGTGTACCGAGAGGTCCTTTTGGTGTCGCTTCAGGTAACCGTGCACCACCGCCGCCGCCCACGCAGACGCCACCGACGCGGGAGGAGACCACGAACAAGAAGAAGGAGGACGAGGAGGACGAGGACGAGGAGACGAGCAGCTCGTCGGAGGAGACGGAATCCGAGACCGAGGAGGAATCGGAGAACGACGCTCACCCGACGACCAACGCGTCCTCGACGACGACGACGACGGCACAGGACCGTCAGAGGAACGAGCAAGCCATGGCGCGGACGGACATCGGTCCGCTGCTCGCGAGGAGCGCCGAGGCGAGACGAGGCAGCAAGGAGGACTCGCCTTCGACCAGGCAAGTATCCCTTTTTTCGGTCTCTTTGATCAGCCGACTCGTCTTCGCGAGCGAAGGTGCGTTCTCACTATTCCCTGCTGCGACCAACGTCTGCGTTCATTGTCTCGCAAAGGGGTGTTTTATGCTTCGGCAGAAACAGGACTCGACGATCGTTTCTATATTATTTTATATTATTCGAACGAACCGAACGTTGACAGGTCTTTTAGAATACAGAGTTCAACCGATGCTACGATAAATTTTGACTGTCCAGTTTCATTGGTTAAATGACTTTCATGTTGTTGGAATGCTGTATTAAATATGGTATATTTTTAATTATATATGGACTAGATATTCGAAAGTATATTGCTGAATTTTTGCAGAATTTGTGCACAATTTTTTACGTGGTCTGAATACGCAAAGTGGAAAGCACAATCTTGCGTGTGCTTTGGATAAAGTCATGCTCGCGTTAAGAAATTTATTGAAAACTGTAACACTGCTCGATAGCTTTAGCATTAATTAGTAATCGAAGCTATTTACTTGGCCGATTCTTTATCGTTGATTCGATTCGATGGAAAAACTTGATTTTACGTACTTGAAGACCAGGCCTCCCTCTAAAGGCTAATCTAAGAGACAATAGTGAGAACTATCCTTGGTACAGTGAAGTTTCAGCTGCGAAAATCTCTCATTCGGAACCCAGCCCTGTTGAATATCTGCAAATATCTGATTTGTACGAATCTTTACCTCGCGAGTAGACTGCGGATTTCGTGGAAAGTACGAATAGGCGAAACATGGAATAGCGAAAGGTTTTAAAAGAACTGAAAATGTTTACACATTAAATTAGAATTCATTGAAGTTATTCAAAATAGAAAGAGGATTGCACTTGACTCCTACGTGTTGCATTCGATGCAGATGATTTTTATCGTGCATAATGATTCGCAGTCTACTGATGAGGCTTGTAAATTACAGTACTGTGAATGAGTACCACATCGAGTAACAATTTGAAATGAAAATTATGGGAAGTTAGCAGCCCTCGAAAATCTCTCGCCAGGTCCACAGAAGTGAGAGATTTTCGAAGCGAACCAGAAACCGTCCTTGCACTTCTCAGACGATGGGTGCGAGCACATGCTCGGGGCGCCCGTCGAATTTCCGACGGGTTCGGAGCCGACAACGTTCTCGCGTGTATCCCATGGAGACTCTTCCCCCCTCTCTCTCTCTCTCTGTCTCTCTCTTACTCTCACTCTCTCTCTTATTCTATCTCTCTCTCTCTCTCTCTCTCTCTCTCTCTTAATAAATAACGAGCGTGATGCAACAAGCCGGAGGTAACGAAAATCAATACCGTGAACGAAACGGGCAACGAGAGGCATCGGTGGGCGAGCATCGCTCCAAGAGACGCTGTACTCGAGATATTTCTCTAAAAACCGAAATAGTTCCACGGTCGCTTAGGGTGAACCGGGAATCTCCTTCGAATGTCCGCGACGTCGTTGGCCGAGATAGGCAGGGCTCGAAGGCTGTCACAATATCGATTTCGGTCCTCGAAGAACGGAGAACTTTTCTCGCAAGTAACTGCTACGAAGAGCTGAAAACTTATCCGCTTCGATCATGGTTCCAATTTAGACCGATGCGTCGGTTCGACGACCATTGTCTTCTGGGATCCAGGATAGAGATACCCATCGATTTTACCGTAATCGATAATCTTTGTCGCAGCAGCAGAGTACCGCGTGTACGCGCATTCTCAATCGTTCAAAATTTAATCTCTACAAATCAATTCCTACGCTGATCATCGTTATAATTTCTTAATTTAATTAAAATTCGCAAGATTCGTTGAAGAAGTACTCTGCGCCGCATAAGATTGCTTTGCGATCTTAATCGAATCGAATAAGATACGAAATTTATCTAATTTTACGAAATTCTCGCGGTTTCTCGCGCGGTTGTGAAATCGCTGACAACGATCGCCGGCTTTGGATGGTCCACTTTGTCGCGCCGATACGCCAGCATCTCCGTGCGGACCAGCAAAACGTATCTGGCACGATCTACTGCAAAATCGATCAGCTGTCACGATCGTCAGGGAACTGTTAGGCGTCTTCCTGAGACAATCGCGAAAGAGACGAGGTTCGTGGAATCGATCCGGTGGCAGAAGCCCGAAGCGTAATCAAAGCGGATAACAAATTTCCGTAGCTCGTAACTGGTTCGTGATAAAGTGTCTCCGTGGAGCAGCAAGGACCTGTCCAGGACAGTTATTCCGCGGGGCGCGTGATCGAAGTCGAGACAGTTAGGGGTGGTCCGGGGGCCGCGATCCAAGGTGATTGAACCAGAATATCGAGCGATCACTCGTGTCCCAGGTATTCGTCGCCGAGAGGGAGTCCCGCGCATTCGGTGAACACGAGCCCGACGACGACCACGGCTACGTCGACGTCTACGACGAGCGGAACGGGCGGCGGCGGCGGCGGTGGCGGCGGCGTCGCGACGCTGGCCACGACGCCGGCCGGCTACACCAGCAGGTTCGTAGCACACGTAGCGCACGGTCGTCAGACTGCTGATCATCAGGCCAGTTCTAATTCCAATAACCCCCACGACCGTAATCGTTTTAGGGCGTTTAGTGACGAACATCGCGACGAGGCTAGTATCGCGGCTACGAGCGCGGATCACGCGAACCGATCGGTCGCCCGGCGTCCGGAAACGTGCCTAATCGAACCTAACCGTCGCACGGACGATAGTACGGACACCGACGGAACCACCCAATCATCATCCTCCTCCTCCTACTTCATAGCGACTAGGTCCGACGGTCTCGAAGGTAGCGGTCACGTTAGTCGGGTCGCGGAAGGTCGTTCGGGGAACGACGTGAGCTCGTCGGTGAACGCCCGAGCCGATCCGAGAGGATCGCGGGCCCCGAGCAGGCTCGAGAGCTTGCTCGAGCAACCGGAGGAAAGGGGGTCCAGAGAGTCGAGCAGCTATTCGGCCAGCACGAACTCGGAGACCGAGTCGGACAGCGAGACGGGGACCGACGAGGAGACCGACGAGNTCTCTCTGTCTCTCTCTTACTCTCACTCTCTCTCTTATTCTATCTCTCTCTCTCTCTCTCTCTCTCTCTCTCTTAATAAATAACGAGCGTGATGCAACAAGCCGGAGGTAACGAAAATCAATACCGTGAACGAAACGGGCAACGAGAGGCATCGGTGGGCGAGCATCGCTCCAAGAGACGCTGTACTCGAGATATTTCTCTAAAAACCGAAATAGTTCCACGGTCGCTTAGGGTGAACCGGGAATCTCCTTCGAATGTCCGCGACGTCGTTGGCCGAGATAGGCAGGGCTCGAAGGCTGTCACAATATCGATTTCGGTCCTCGAAGAACGGAGAACTTTTCTCGCAAGTAACTGCTACGAAGAGCTGAAAACTTATCCGCTTCGATCATGGTTCCAATTTAGACCGATGCGTCGGTTCGACGACCATTGTCTTCTGGGATCCAGGATAGAGATACCCATCGATTTTACCGTAATCGATAATCTTTGTCGCAGCAGCAGAGTACCGCGTGTACGCGCATTCTCAATCGTTCAAAATTTAATCTCTACAAATCAATTCCTACGCTGATCATCGTTATAATTTCTTAATTTAATTAAAATTCGCAAGATTCGTTGAAGAAGTACTCTGCGCCGCATAAGATTGCTTTGCGATCTTAATCGAATCGAATAAGATACGAAATTTATCTAATTTTACGAAATTCTCGCGGTTTCTCGCGCGGTTGTGAAATCGCTGACAACGATCGCCGGCTTTGGATGGTCCACTTTGTCGCGCCGATACGCCAGCATCTCCGTGCGGACCAGCAAAACGTATCTGGCACGATCTACTGCAAAATCGATCAGCTGTCACGATCGTCAGGGAACTGTTAGGCGTCTTCCTGAGACAATCGCGAAAGAGACGAGGTTCGTGGAATCGATCCGGTGGCAGAAGCCCGAAGCGTAATCAAAGCGGATAACAAATTTCCGTAGCTCGTAACTGGTTCGTGATAAAGTGTCTCCGTGGAGCAGCAAGGACCTGTCCAGGACAGTTATTCCGCGGGGCGCGTGATCGAAGTCGAGACAGTTAGGGGTGGTCCGGGGGCCGCGATCCAAGGTGATTGAACCAGAATATCGAGCGATCACTCGTGTCCCAGGTATTCGTCGCCGAGAGGGAGTCCCGCGCATTCGGTGAACACGAGCCCGACGACGACCACGGCTACGTCGACGTCTACGACGAGCGGAACGGGCGGCGGCGGCGGCGGTGGCGGCGGCGTCGCGACGCTGGCCACGACGCCGGCCGGCTACACCAGCAGGTTCGTAGCACACGTAGCGCACGGTCGTCAGACTGCTGATCATCAGGCCAGTTCTAATTCCAATAACCCCCACGACCGTAATCGTTTTAGGGCGTTTAGTGACGAACATCGCGACGAGGCTAGTATCGCGGCTACGAGCGCGGATCACGCGAACCGATCGGTCGCCCGGCGTCCGGAAACGTGCCTAATCGAACCTAACCGTCGCACGGACGATAGTACGGACACCGACGGAACCACCCAATCATCATCCTCCTCCTCCTACTTCATAGCGACTAGGTCCGACGGTCTCGAAGGTAGCGGTCACGTTAGTCGGGTCGCGGAAGGTCGTTCGGGGAACGACGTGAGCTCGTCGGTGAACGCCCGAGCCGATCCGAGAGGATCGCGGGCCCCGAGCAGGCTCGAGAGCTTGCTCGAGCAACCGGAGGAAAGGGGGTCCAGAGAGTCGAGCAGCTATTCGGCCAGCACGAACTCGGAGACCGAGTCGGACAGCGAGACGGGGACCGACGAGGAGACCGACGAGGAAGATGACCAGTCGAGGGACGAGAACAGCAACGTGAAGATCAAGAAGAAGGCGGAGGGTCCGCGGGACGAGGACGGCGACGTGAAAGGCTTCGCCAGGGAAGAGGACGATTCCGAGAGCGAGGAGTCGACGGACACGGAGACCGACGACGAGACCACCGTCCTGAGCGTGCGAGCCGGGCCCAGGTCCCAGGAGGACCGTCGCCAGGATCGTTACGACCAGGTGAAACGACGGAGCACCTCGATCGTCGGCGAGAAGAGCGTCGAGGAGCTGTTCGACGACAACGGCTGGGTCGTCACCGATCAGGATCTGCAGGCCGACGGGCCGCAGAAGATCTCCAGGAGCTTCGAGCCGATCGATCGGGAGCCCGATGACGTTGACGAGGACAAGGAGAAGAACGGGAGCTTGAGAACGGACTCGGAGGAGAAGGGGAACGGGGACGACGATACCAGCGAAGGTGCCAGGACGTTGAGTCTGTCGGGGTCGTCGGAGAGTTTGCCGAGGAGCAGGGTCTACAGGCAGAGCAGCCTGGGGAAAAACGGCTGGATGGTCTCCGACGAGTCCGACAGCGAAACTGACAAGGCCGGAAAGCAAGGGGCCGCGATGAAGACGGAAGACGGCCGAGTGAACGGTTCGGGGACGGACGGCAAGCCCGAGGACGGCTCGTGGAACATCGATAAGGACGGCTGGGTGATAGTGAACAAGATGAAGGACACGGCTGATGGCAAGGGGGTCGAGGACGAGACGAGGAGCACGATTCGTTCCCAAACGACCGACCTCGCAGTGAGAACTAGCATCGAGAACGGTGCACTAGTCGCGAACGCTACCCAATCCAAAGAGACCGACAGTCCGAACGAGCACGAGGACACGCCTGGTGTCGCTATCAGTATACCGATGCAAATGGTAACCACCGTTTTCTGTGTGTCCGTACTGTGTTACAGCGTTCTAATCAATCTGTTCCTGTAACCCACACACGCGCGCGCGCACGCACACGTACATACATACATACATACATGCACACGTACACACGTGTCCCAACCCCCAACGTTTCTCCGTCCCTTCGTTCGACGATGCTCATCGGCCGCGCGTTACCGTCCGGTGTGGTTCTTCTTTTTCCGCCATTCTCGCTCGCTCGCTCGCTCGCTAGGTTTTTCATTTCGGTTTTGTCCGCTCGATCGTCCGCGTTCGTCGCCGAAGACCACGCTCACGGAAACGATCCGTGAGGACGTCGATAACGAGATGCGCCAGTTTCTTCCTACCGAAGCTACTAAAGCTAGGTCCACATTTGTTCGAGAACGATTTTATGCTCGTCTTGGAAACGATGGTAGCTGTTCGATTTGTGGGACGTGGCAGCGTTAGGTAGATATTCTTTAATACGTCTGACTTAAACGTTAATGACACGTTTTCGTCGTATTTTATCGGTTTATCGGAGACGAAAGGGGTGATTCGATTTGGACATCGTTACCTTGATGACGAGTGAACTTTCATCGGTTTCGCAACGAAAGCAGCTATTCGAATCGGACATTATTGTCCTTTGATATGATCGAACTTCGCTTCGATACGTTTCTGCCATAAGTTTTCTGCCTTGAAACTAGGCCAAACTTGGCATTTTTGTAAAAAAAAGAGGGGGTGATTTAACTATGAACATAGTGCTCGCTCGAAATGAGAAATAAAATTGCATCCTACAAATTTATTCAAATTTGACATTCGTATAAAGAAGACTTGCATCTGTGACTATAGTGTTCGCTCTTAAACGAAACCATTCGAAACTGCATCGAAAAAAACTGATTCAAACTTGACATTCTTATGAAGAACAGATGCAGTTGTGACTAGACCATAGACTTTACGCGTTCATGGCAAAAATGAGTGGATACAATTTAAAACAGTGGAAAGATTGCAACAAGCTACGAATTTGCAAACAAGCGTCGATTTGAACTTATTTAAATAATTAACGAAAGAAAAATAATTCCACTTGTCTCCTATCTCGCAATTGATGCGGACAATTTTTCTTTCGCATAAAAATCCACGTTCTAGTTGCATCCATAGCGATTATTTCATAGAAATATCGAGCATAGCGATTATTTCATTAATTTCATAGAGACCGATGAAAGTTCATTGCCCTCTAAAAGCCCTAATAAACTAAAAACGAATCCAGAATCGAATTCGAGCATCTCGACGAGGCTGCAATGCTAAATAAACGCAGCGGCCGCAGTATCGAACCGAGGAGACATAGTTCGAAGCGAGATCACTCGTTCAGACAACGCGTCGATGTGGACACGGCTTTAGTCCCCGTTATTTTTATCCCGGCCTCCTCTCCTCTCCTCTATTTTTCCCGAACTCGTTTCGTTGGTCGTGTGTTGTTTCTCGAGAGTCGATCGGCGCCGAGAAAGAATGACGGTGGCTCGCGGAACGTTTGTTTTACAGCGACGGGCCGTGAAAACACGTCGGCCAGCGGCCGATATAGGTGCCGGCGGAATTCCTTCGGCCGCGCGCGCGATCGCCGGAGAAAAGCCACCCTCTCTCGTCGAGCCGCGCACGGTCTACGCCGTCGTTCACCCCGAAAAAAAAAACTGCTGCCCTCGGTGTCCTCCGACCTTCCGCGCTCAGCTGTCGTCGCGCCGCGATCGATAGAGAGAACAGAACCGTCGCGTCGTCGGTGCCGCGATTCATCGC